GCCACTTCCACCTCTTATCTGGAATACCAAAAAGGGCATTAAGATGTACGTTTTAATTTCTTACCTCTATTTCTCTTAAGAAAATGTGTCTTTTTTTTTTCTTTTTTCTTTTCTACAAACTATCTCCCCTCAAACCCTAGTCCCACCCACATACCCATTATCCAGTTCCTTCAATGAGAGTAACTCGTAAGGAAGACAGCTAATTGATTTACAGTACTCTAAAGCCAACCCTGAAAAACTAGTAATCTCATTTAGTGTAACTTCAGTGCTGTTGCTGACAAAAAAGGGAAAAAAAGTTACCTTAAGGCTCAAGGGAAAGTAACCTATTAAATTGTGAATGCAGCATTGTTTACTCTCCCATCCATTGGAAGCTAGCAAAATGCATTCTGGACCAACAATACAAACTTTCTAACATTAGCAAATATTTCTATTACTCTTACAGAGTTAGAACAATACTCATAAGATTATCTAGGGGAGCCTGAGAAACCATGATCCACATCACACAATGATTCCATGTATTTCATGATCAAAAAGTGCTTTATCTTTGAGAATCTTAGGGTTAAAATGGAAATATACAACGCAAAATCAGTCGACACTTTCTCAAGTACAAAGTGGAAAAGGAGCAAAAGGCTGGAGGCTCTGCTCTCTGAACAGGCCTTATGCATGTCAATTTTAGGATGTACTAAATTAAAATTGTTTTAAGAGTTAGTGGGATTTCACACCACTATATATATTCTCTAAAACCTGAGATTGGACATCAAAGCAGTCAACTTTGTTACTTATCAGAGCAATCCTGATACTTCCTAAAAATAGAAGACAACTCAAGTGAACTAGTAACTCCAGGGTCACAAACATTAACTTCCCCCAATCAAAAAGGAGACTGATGCCAAACGCATAGATATGAAGAGTGCTGCAGAACGAAGACTCAGCAAACGAGTCATTTCTACATAAGCGAAAGTCACTTCTCTCCTTTCCCTTCTCACTGATCAAGGCCACACTATTTTCAGATGAATATCTACTGAGAGATCAGTTGTGCATTGATTGAACAAAGTACCATAGTTGGGTTAAAAAACAAAACAAAATTTACAGTGAAGAATACTTATGTGCATGGCTTACACACTCAAGCTTGTCCTTAATTTCATCTACCTGAAGAGCAAGGTAGATGCAAAATAGTCACCTTTTAATACCTTGTGTAGATCATAGTCTAGCCCCCTGTAAAGTCAGTCAAGGTCACATTTAACAAAGCATCCTCAGTAACTATAGAGCCTGAAGTGTGCAGCCTTTTACAGACCACTCAATATGAGGGCATTATTATAACCAGCCTCTTTTGCCCACAACCCTGCATTTTCAGATAAGACAGGAAAATTTGTTTTGTTTTGATAAAAATGAAGCTTGATTCTCCTAAAAGACCTGCAATTTACTGCAAAGTGATCAAGAGGTGGTAAAGGAAGCATGCTAATGGCTGCCTGGACCAAAAGTCTCTGGATCATTTTGCAATAATTATGGAAAGTGACTTGACAATTAGCCATGTATGCATCACAGCTAGTCATGTATACCACCTACATGCCTTCTATAGTAACATAGGGTGTCTGGGTTTTTGGTTTGGTTTTCACTCTGATTTTTGGTGCCATATAGATTTTTGCATTTTGTTATGTGCAGCATATGCACCGAAAATGTTCTTTCCTAAGAACTGTCGGTCTCCTCACTGCATGATAGGTAGGGACAATAGAAACCAGAAGGAATGTTAGCATCTCGTGAATTTTTTTCTCCTCTTGATGTATTCCTAAAATTAGACTTCTGTGTGTTTGAGAACCGAACATTCTACCAATTATATAAAATGGCATTTCAGTCTCTACTTCTCAGGAATATAACTATTTAGAACACGTGATTAGCTGGGATGTTTGCCAAAGTAAAAAGACAAGCTCTAAATCACTGTTCATGATAGTGGTTGAAAAACAAAACAAACCGTTTGTTTTCCAGAGCCTGTACAATGCCATTTTCTGACTGGATTTAAGAAAGATCGTTTAATTAGCAGTTCTTACTGGCAGTCTTGGGAAGGCTGTTAATATTGTCTTAATGAAACATACACTGAAAGCAGAGAGTCCTGAGCTCTGCAGATTTCTATTGTCCCTAAATGACCGAAATGAGGATCAGCACAATGCTACAATTAATCCACATCCTCTGTACTCTTCCTGCAGTGAGAAGAGGCCATGAACCACCCCTGGCAGGAGACAAACCTCTAAGATTGGTTAAGACTTAAAAACCCACCACTATGACATTTACCACTTAATCCTACATAGGCAGGTCAAAATTTTAATATAAATTACTTTTTCCAACACATAGCTTATGCATTCTTTGCTCCTGTTTTGGGAGAATTCTCAAATTGACATCTAAAGATTTACATATGATATATTACTGTTACATGGTCTAATGACTAAGATAATTTCTCTGGTAACCAAAGCTGATGCCATATATGGTAGTGTTCTTGGCATATACTCTATATGCCTCAGACACTTCCACATTTTTCCTATTCAGCTAATTATAGCTTAGTAGCCACTGGCAAAGGATTGTGACGACCCTGTCATTTCTACAGACTAGAAAGGCAAGGCTAGTTACTGCAATTCAGCCAAACAGAAAGGAAGGAAAGAGTTAAATCCACCCCTTAAAAAGGAGAGGTACTGCACCTTTGCAAAATTGAACTGGCTCACTGCAGCTGAGCAACAGAACCACCACTGAAGCAAAAAAAAAAAAAAAAAAAAAAGTTGGTCTATACAGGAATTGTACATGGTTTGAAAATGAAAAAGTTACAGCAATCAACTAGTAGCTGTAACCTAATTTTCATTGCTGCCTCAGAGTCTGAAACTTAAACAGTTCCCCAAAACTTAATGCTAACTTCTCAGCTTTTACTACAACTAAGGATTTGTTCTCCGCAGCAAAGAAATAAACACTCAAAACACATAAGTAAATACAGCAGGACATTATTGAAAACAGCTGCCTTGTAGTACAAAATACAGTACAAGAATACGGATGTCATTAAAACATCAAAAAATACTATTGCTCCCATACAATTTAGGAAACATTCTTTGCAACGGAGAAAAATTTTAAAAAAAGATTTGAAAAAAAATCTGTTCAAAAGTCTACTGTGGAAGATGAAAGTAGAGAAATAGTCTGAAAAGGGCACCAATATTCGTGGCTCTTCCATTTATTTTTAATATCTAAGATCAACAAAATTGAATCATACCCTAATTTTTTAAAAGCCTAATTATATATACACAATTATTTCCCTCCCTCTCAGCCACAATGCACAAAATGAACTTTTTGTATATTACTTATTTCCCAATAAATACAAAAAGATTGTATAGATTGAATAATACCAAAATAATAAAAATGGTATGCAATAAATTAAAAGGCAGCTCAAATAAAGGGCAGGCATGCAATTAAAAAAAATACTAAAATTGTGGAGGTGGGGTTACTTGCCTCCTGGTTGAGAAGGTGTCGCACAAGAATACCCGAAAACTTTGTAAAGAACATTTGCTCTGGTTCAATTCAAAGTTACCTAGGGCTATCACTTCTAGGAATACCTTTTGATCGGTGGGATTAACTTGATTAGTAAAAATGACTTCTACTGAAAATCCACTGAAAATATATAAGAGGTGATCCTTGAAAACCCCAACTTTTATTCTTGAAAGACAGCTGGCTAAACTGGGAAAATCAGTTTGTTGAAATCTCAAGATGGTATAAAAAATGTTTCCAGAATATAGTTCACTTCAACTCCATTCAGGTGGATATCAGCTTTCAAAGGATACAGCTGCTTGAAACACCCATCATTTGCCAACTTTGTGAGGTACTAAAACAATGGATCAAGTTCTTAAAAATTTGTTTTAAAAGAATATATGATGCTGGAATTCTAGACCTGAGGATCTTTAGTATTTGAAAAAAAAAATCCACAGAATAAACTGAAGGTAGATGAAGACTTCAGTTTTGGTTATTCCCAACTTTTCCATGAGGACATATAATCCATTAAAGCTCAAGCTTGTGGCCACACTGTTCCTTTTGTAGTTATCTTCAAGTTTTAAGGTTTAAAATACAGCCAACCAGTGGCTGAAACAGCCGAATTAGCCATACTTCACTGGCTCGAAAGGTGGAGTCAAGGGGATCTAGTTCTCACTCATCTCTAAGCCATTTCTTGGTAATGACCTCCATATATGGAGATCAGGGGAAGAACTTGGTGAGCAGCTACCAATCCACTCCAACAGTTTTCCTTGTGCTTTAGGCCTGATTTTTCTCTTGTGCTACCTCAGCAACCCCCAACTTCAAACTGCTCCTTTTATCTTCGGAAAAAAAAAAAAACTGCCAGCTTTTAAAATAAAATCTTAGGAACTAGCTCTAGTTCAAGGATTGATATAGGAATCCATCTGCATCCCAGACAAAAGCACAGTTCTGCAAAGAAAAGACGGGGCCTTGGTCCAGGTTCCATGCAAAACCGTTTTAAAGCCAAACGGCTTGGGTGTTTCTGCATTCCCCAATGGCTTCTCGCGTTCTGATTTTCCGTTGTCCACGGAAACTCCGAGTCGCATTCCTTTCACGAAACAGTACTCTCGTTACTGGGCAAGCGCAAGGGCACCTCGTTCAAGAATTTCATCAAGACCGGGATCCAAAATGCTGATTTCAATGGAGGTGAAATACTAGACACGGCAACAGCGAGGTCTGGAGAGCTGCCATCCGCGGGTCTGGGTCACCCACAGGTGTTCCTCGGGCAACTCTGGGTTTCTGCCCCCAATCCCCAGCCCCCCACCGCCCCCAGTTCTCTCGGCGGCGGGTTCGCAAACCGCGGCTGGGAACTCAATCACAGACGCTGTCGCCTCTCCGAGCAGGTCGCCGTCAGTTCCTTGATGCTCCACTGCGTTTCTCTAATCGCTGGCGATTGTTCTCTTAGAGTGATGGGACTACGGTTTAATTTCCGCCTTCTCCCCGTCCCCCGCCGTCCCCCGCGGAGGGGCGGCGAGGGGGGGTCGGCGGGCGGCCCGCGGGGACGGCCGCGGCGCTCCTCAGTCCTCGTCCACCTCCTCGCCCTCGGACTCGTCCCCGCCGCGCCGCTCGTACAGCTTGTCCCGCTGCCGCTCCTGGATCTCCTTCATCTCGTCGGCGTAGCGGCAGAAGGCGCCGCCGAACTTGCCCCAGGCCTTGAAGGGGACGGTGATGGAGTTGCGGTAGGACGGCTTCACCTCGCTCACGCGCAGGAACACGCCGTACTTGTTGCAGCCCACGTCGAAGAAGAAGCGCTTGGAGTCCACCGTGATGGAGGTGCCCTCGGGGAGCTCCCCGTACAGGCCCGCGCCGCCGCCCGCGCCCGCCGCCAGCTCGTCGTCGTCGCCGCCGTAGTCGTCGATGAGCTTGGCCAGCGCGTCGCGGAACTCGATGAGGCCCTGCGCGGGCAGCGCGATGGTCTGGCCGCTCTGCAGGCCGGGCCCGGGCCCGCCGAAGCCGCCGGCGCCGCCGCGGTGCACCGTCTGGCGGATGCGCAGGAAGCGGCCGCGCTGGTTCTCCTTCAGGTCCAGGTAGTACTTGCGGTTCTCGCGCACCAGGAACTCGCTCTTGAGCGCGCGCCGCGGCCCGCCGCTCTCGTCGGCGCCCGCCGCCAGCTGCTCGGGGCTGCTCGGGCCCAGCTGCGCGTAGTGCTCGATGAAGTCGCCCAGCGCGTCGCGGAACTCGGCCGCCACGGCCATGGACAGCGTGAGGCGGCTCTTGGAGCCGCCCGCGCCCACCTCGGCGATCTTCAGGAAGCGGCCCTTGGCGTTCTGCTTCACGTCCAGGTAGAAGCGCTTGTTCTGGATGTCCAGCCGCTTGGACGCCAGCTCCTGCGTCTCCTGCTCGCCGCCGCCCGCCCGGCCCGCGGGCGCGAAGCCGCCGCCGCCGCCGCCACCGCCGCCGCTGCCGCCGCCGCGCTCGCTGCCGCTGTCGCCGTCCGCCATCTTCTCCGGCCGCCCGCCGCCGCCGCCGCCCGCCGCCCGCCGCGCTCGCGCCCCCGCCCTCCGGCCCGCGGCTCGCTCTCCGGGGCCCCCCAGCCTCGCCCGCCGGCTGCTCACGCGCTCCCGCCGCTCATCGCCGGCCGCCGCCGCCCCCCATCGCCCTCGCGCCGCCCCTCCGCTTCCGCCCCGGCCGCGCCTTCCGGCGCGCGCGTCCTGTGTCGCCGCCCCGCGCCTCGCGTCACGGCGCCGGCGCGGGCCGATGACGTCAGCGCCGCGCGCGAGCCGGCGGGTGGGGGCGCGGCGGCGGCGGCGGCGCTCGCGGGCTCGGGGGTGGGGTTGGGCGGAGGAGGGGCGCGCGGAGGGAAAGAGGCTTGCGGCAGGCGGTGAGAGGGCGCGTGGCCACGGGGTGTTTTCGGTTGCAGGTCCTGGGGGCCTGCCGGGGAGCTCCAGGCTGAGGCTGCCCCTCCCCCCCCCCACTGCGCTGCGGTTGTGTCCGAAAACGTCCAGAAAAATGCAGCGGAGGCTCTGCAGGCGCGCCACTGTCTGGGTTTGAATGTGGAATCTTGACCGGTTACGCCAAAAGTCAATACGGGCCTTTCCCACCCTTCACATACAGCAGTTAATTAAGGAAGTGGGGGCTGGTTCAGAAGACGGGAGAACAGTTTTGCTCCCTCGGGCAATGTGCAACGCCCATCCCCGCCAGTACACGGCTGCAGCCTCTGAGCACCCCGGAGTGTTAGGTGCAAGAGATCTCAGTGGGACCTCGGTTAGGTGGCCACAAGCCTGAGCCCACCGAGACAGGACAGATTTTTTTTTTTTTTTAGATAAAACAATTTTTTATGAGGATGCTTCAATAAAACATTAATAATGAAGTAAAATCATTGCTATTAAAGGTATTGCTTTAAAATATTTTCCATGAAGAATATATTTAGTCATTCAATGCAAAATATTTCTGCTGTTCAAGAAAAATATCGAATACTGTTTCTGTCATACTTATATATGCTAATCACCTATTGTACACTTATAATCATTGCTTTGTAGTCATGTAATATTATCTTGCTAGAAAAACTAAAGTATATTCTACATACGTTTGTTAACCATCTACCATAGTCAGACATTTTTCTAGGTTTTATGGGAGGAGCAATGAATCTATTTCCATGAAGCTCATATTCTCAGGCATACAGGCAATAAACACAAAAATGACTACATAATTCAGATCTTTGATATTAATAGCTATGTAATAATCATTGCAATCAATTTTAGAACATTTTACCCCTCCACCTCCTAAAGCTCTTTGTTCCTAAGCAGACATTCCTCTGTGAGACAGGACAGATTTTTCAATGTTTCGGTCACACACCAAACCGCACTCCTACAAGGATTTGCAAGCCCAAGACACTTGGAACCCGTTCGCTCAGGGAGAGGGAGAGGTTTGTAAGCCCTGTGCAGGCAAGCGGAGGTACAAAAGCAAAACAGAGCCGTCAACACGTCTTACACGGACTCGAAGCAACCCAGCTATCTGTGGTCGGGTGTCTGGGTCTTTATGTCCATGCTCTTGGGGGCCTGGCGTGTTTTTATCACTAGGCTGTTAACTCATGACCCTGAAGCACAAAGTGAAGTCTGGCTTACCAAAATGGAGTCGCAGTGGTCCTTTCACTGAGTATGAAAGGACCAAACCAAACAAAGCAACTATTAATTCATGATATACCTAAGGACAAGATGTATCTCTGCTCTTAGCATCAATATGATTAAAATAGACTTGCTCTTCAAGCCCGAGTTCTCCCTTGAACATGTATCTCACTCCATTCTGTTTCTTTGCTTGCCTAGTTCCATGTTGGAGAAGCCTGGGTTCTCCCTTGAACACATACTTTCTCCTCTCATATCTTTCTAAATAAGTTTCAATAAAACGACCTTGCTTCACTAAAAAAGATTTAAATCTTAAAACTCAGTGAAAAGAGGGCCTGAGTTCAGTGATAGGATGTTTGCCTTGCGCACATCTAGGTTCCATCCCTGCCACCCCATATGGACCCTGAGTTCAGACCCAGGGTTAAGCCCTCAGTACTGCCAGGTGTGGCCTCAAAACCAAAACCAAAAAAAGTCAATAAATGATAAGGAAAATGATAAAAATAGGGGGAATGATAAAGTTTTAACAAATGATGCACCAAGATCAACATGTTCAGTGTCATTAGAGAAATTGTAAATTAAAATTTCAATAAGGTATAAAACACCCACTACAATGGGTAGATTTAGATTGTCATCAACTGTTGGTAAAGAGAAACATTATCGTGCACTGCGAGTGGAAGTATGAAATAGTATAAAGGCCCTGGAAAAGAATCTTGTGGTGGTGATGTGGGGAGGGGCACGTTCACTGGTGCTCATTACCACAACTTGGGGATCAAATCCAGGCCCTCAGGCATGCAAGCCTCCTGCTCTGCTGCTTAAACCTCATCTCTGTTCTGGCAGGTTTATCTTTTTCTTTTTTTAAATTTTCTTTTGGGGGGTGGGACACACCCTGTGTGCTCAGGGCTTACACCAGGCTCTGCACTCAGGAATTAATCCTGGCAGTGCTCAGGAGACCATATAGTATGCCAGGAACTGAACCCCAGTCTGCAGCGTGCATGGCAAGCACTCTCACCACTGTCCTATAGCTCTGGTCCAATTTCTTTTATAGAAATAACTTAATCACTTAATCCCCGTTATTCATCGATTTACTCGAGCGGGTGCCAGTAACGTCTCCATCCTGGTTGCGTGCTAGCGTAGCCCAATGGCATCTGTTCATTCTAGGAACATGCAGAGCCTCAAACCGATCATTCAGGGTCTTGACGAAGAAGTCTGGCCATCTTGTAGGTGGGCGTCCATGCGATCTTTTGATGTCCCGTGGAATGCAGTCAGTAATGGCTCTAGTCCAGCGGTTGTCTGTAAACCTCATTACATGTCCAGCCCATCTGATTTTTGATGCCTTGGCAAATGAGACAGTGTCCCTGATTTTTGAGCTTTGACGAAGATCAGAACTCCGGATTCTTTCTCTCATTTGAGTGAATCGTGATATTCCAAGCATAGATAGCTCTTTCGATTCCTCTTTGAGAGACCCGAATAGCGTTCTCATCCTGTTTTCGTAGGGCCCAGGTCTCTGAGGCATATGTTAATGCAGGAAGAACAGTGGAATCGAAGAGATGTGCTCGTTGCTGGAGGTTCTTTGTCCTCTTAGTTATTTCTTCAACGCTCTTGAAGGCATTCCAAGCCGCTCTCTTCCTCCTGCGCAACTCAGGTGCCAGGTCATTCATCATGTTGATTTCTCGACCTAGGTATATATAACTGTTGCATTCGGAGATGGTGGTTCTGTTGAGAGCGAATGGAGCGTCAGGAACAAATATGTTTCTCATAAACATTGTCTTCGTAAGATTCAGCTGTAGTCCGACCTTTCCACATTCATGGTCGAAGTCAGTCAGCATTTGTGCCGCTTGGCTGATGTTTGGTGTTATTAAGACAATGTCATCAGCAAAGCGGAGGTGGTGTAGTTGCCGACCATCTATTTTCACTCCCATGCTTTCCCATTCCAATCGTCGCATGATGTTCTCGAGGGTGGCACTGAAGAGTTTTGGTGAAATGGTATCACCCTGCCGAACTCCTCTCTTGACATGGATGATTACTTCTTTGTAGAATGGTGAGATCCTGGTAGTGAATCCGTAATAGAACTCACGAAGGATCCTGATGTATTGAGTTTGTACGCCCTGATTGACTAGGGCTTCTATGACTGCTTCCGTCTCAACAGAATCAAAGGCCTTCTTTAAATCAATGAATGTTAGACAGAGCGGCATCTTGAACTCCTGAGAAACCTCAATGAGCTTAGTAATCGTGTGGATATGGTCGATGGTACGGAATCCTTTTCGGAATGCGGCTTTTTCACATGGTTGTCCTTCATTTAGTGTTCTGCTAATCCTATTCAGGATGACTCTAGTGAACAGTTTGTAGATGACAGACAATAGGCAGATTGGGCGATAGTTGCCAATGTCGTGGATGTCTCCCTTCTTGTATAGTAGTACAGTCCTGCTGGTTTTCCATTGGGATGGAAACTTGCGTTCAGAGAGGTAGCGTGTGAAGAGCCAAGCCAGTGTATTGATGAGTACTGATGGTAAATTCTTCAGGTGTTCAGGTCTGATCTTGTCTGGGCTAGGTGCTCTTTGTTTCTTTACTAACGAGATGGCATGTTGGATTTCGGAAGGGAGAACATTGGGAACGACATATCCATCATGTGGAATGTGGTATGTGGACAAGTGGACGTGGCTATTAAAGAGATCTGAGTAGAAGTCATGAATAATCTTCTCCATTGCCCTTCTGGAAGATGTGATAGATCCATCATGATGTCGGAGGGCAGTCATCTTGGTCTTGTAGTTGGTGAAGGACAGGCGGGCATTACGAATGCTTTTCCCAGCTTCTGCCGCATCTACCAGCACTGCTGCTCTCCTGTTTTTGAGGTCATCCCTGATGGCTTCTCTGCATTGTTTTGCTAGCTCGGACATTTGCTTGTGGTTGCCTGAGGCATGTGCCAAGCCACGTTGGCGAATAAGTTCAAGAGTGTTCGAAGAAAGGCGATTTTTTGTGGTTATCTCTCTCTTGGCATTCCTCGCACAATCATGGAGGTGCTGAATCATTCGATCGTATTCCTCAACAATGTTGTCAATGACGGCATCTTCCCATGTTGCCGCAACAGAGCCAAAGAGCTCCCAGTTGGTGGTCGTTCTGGGAGTCCTCTTCTTAAACTTTGCATTCTTTTCTCCTCGTTCTGTGAGGTAGAATTTTGCACGAAGGAGATGGTGGTCTGATCCCGTTTGGAATTTTGGGACAACAGCAACATCGGTTAGGCAAAACTGCCGATTGAATATGATGTGGTCTATTTCATTGTGGAACCGTCCACCGGGAGACTCCCATGTCCAACGTTTAGATTCAGCCTTTTGGAACTGTGAGTTATAGAAATAGTTTCCTTTTAAAAAGGCAGCTCAGAAGAGAAGGGAGAACTAAGTAAAGGGTGTTGGGGGATCCTTCCAGGATGGTAGATGCATGCGAAAATTAGACTATAGACCAGACATGATTGCCACTCAATGCCTCTTTTGCAGACCACAGCCCCCCAAAGGAGAGAGAGAACAAAAGGGAGTGCCCTGCCACAGAGGCAGGGTGGGATGGGGGGGGGGATAGG